TGGGCTTGATTGAGAGACCCTGCTTCAGTGACTATTCAGTGATTAAGGTTGAAGAGTGATCAAAGATAATTCTGAACCTCCCTCCTTCTCTCTCTCTCTCTCTCTCTCTCTCTCTCTCTCTCTCTCTCTCTCTCTCTCTCTCTCACACACACACACAGTTAAATGATGCTTTAAAAATCTTTCCCAGTTCAGACACAGGGTATTTTAGTTTCATCTCTGTTGCTGTGATAAAATAGGAAGAAACTGAGAGGACAAAAGGTTTATATTAACTCACAGGTATAGCCTATTACTGTGGTGAAGTCAAGGCAGCAGGAACTTGAGGAAACCAGTCATACCACCTCCACAGCCGAGAGCAGAGAGAAATGAGCATGTATCTGCTTGCTGGTGTTCAGCTCACTCTCTATTTATAGTTTAGGATCCCCCGCCTAGGGAATGCAGCTGCCCACAGTGGGCTGGGTCTGTCCACATCAACTCCATCGAGACAATCCCCCACAGACATGCCTGTAGACCAACCTGATCTAGATAAGTTCTCATTAGGACTCCTGTTCCTGGTGATTCTACACTGTGTCAAGATGACAAAGCTGTCACACAGAGACACAGAGTACGTAAGTATCATAGTTCCTGTACTGGCCATTAGGAACACCTCCATTTGCACGCTGAATAAAGGATTTTCCCTTCTTGTTTTTTTTTTTTTTGTTGTTGTTGTTGTTGTTGGTTTTTTTTTTTCCGAGACAGGGTTTCTCTGTATTGTTTTGGAGGCTATCGGTCCAGCCCAGCCTCGAACTCACAGAGATCCGCCTACCTCTGCCTCCCGAGTGCTGGGATTAAAGGCGTGTGCCACCACCGCCCGGCTGATTTTCCCTTCTTGTGTGTTAAAGGTCAGGCCCAATGGGTATCTTCTATCTTCTCACTTGCTCTCCCTTAATCCTCACCGATTCCTCCCATGGCTTCTAAGTTTTTAGAACCGGATAAGAGCTCCTCAGCACAGACCGAATCGGTTCTCTTTCCTTTGGATCCTGTTAGCTGTAAGAAACGGCAAGACAACACCTCCATCTCACTCTCCCCTTCTCACATTTCTTGCCAAATCTGAGGCGAATGCAGAGGGTGACGCCCACCTGCCTCCCTCCTGTGGTAATTCTTCCCTTATATGGGTGAATTCTATCTGGGAAAACAGCCGAGACTCAGTGTCGTTTCTCATCTCCCACAGCAATGGCCACACTACGGATGCCCACCACCCCACCCCACATGTGCCTCCGCTAGAGACTGCCGTGTGCTCTGTAGTTCACCAGCTGAGCTGTTCTGAGGGCATGCCTATGTTAATCCCTGTTACGGTCTGAAGAGGGACCTCAGATAGTCGTGTGTGCAGTTTTGGATGAGTTTATTAAGTACATAGAATGCCAAAGCAAAAGAACAAATGCCAGGTAACAGAGGTAGATAAATAGACAGATAGCACAAACAAACTGAGTGCTCAAAATACCCAGCAAGAATCAGCTAGGGAAGCCCTGGGGAGGCAGTCATCTGGAGTTCCCAATAAAGAGAGTCCCCGGGCAGAGCGGAGTGTCCCCTTGGGTGATACCTCCAAGGAAAAGAACAAATAACGACAGCTAAAGATAAAATTCGAATCACAAGTCACGGCAGCAACCGTCGGGGGACGCTGAGGCAGTGATGGGGAGGAGGCCCCGTTGGCCCTTCATCCCACAGCTGAGCTTCCCGTGGCTTGCTTCCTGTGGCTGAGCTTCCTGTGGCTGAGCATCCAGTGCCACTGCAGAGACTTTTATATCATGGGGTGAGCGCCAGTGACCTCTGTTGGAAATAGGTCACCTTCCAGCTGTTCTCAAGCACCCGATATTTTTACTCTTGGCTGGTTTTCCCGTTCCCTTCCTGTCACAGAGTTGCGGGGGGGGGGTGCATGGGGGTCTTGGAGGACTCTTGACATAAACATGCTCGGGTGTCAAGTTGTGGAGAAACCCCACTTCCAGAACCAGTTTATCATTGATCTCAAACAACACACGGCAATTTATAGATCCAACATACGTTACAACATGGCAGACCCAGTCACCAAGGAGACATCTCACCCATATCATGTAAAGGAAGATGTTCCCCCTGGAACCCTTCTAAAAATATTCCGCTTCTCAACAATTCGGTCTTGGTTTCTGTCTTATCACCCATTTCAGGGTGCAGGCAACTGCAGCAAGGAGGTGCACCCCTATACACAGAAAGCTGCTGTGATTGCCCCCACAGACACTCTAGAGTCTGTTGGCTCTACACCTCAGTTGCCGGTGTTATCACCCACCCATAGCAGGGACCACATAGCTAACACATCTTCGTTCCCATGGGCCTGTCCCTGTTGGAGTGCTAATTGTGTTTCATGCTTTCTTCTTGATAGACCTGCATAAATATCCTTTTACTCCCGAGACAGGGTACTGACGACAGACCAAAGAAATGATTCCACCCAAGTCTGACTTTGAACTAGAGAATTCACAGGGGCTGCTCGCAGGAACGTGGATGACTCAGGCAGCCGCACCGCTGATTAGGCAACCCTGATGTGGGACAACTCACGAAAGCTGTGTGACTGGAATCCCAAATGATCTGCAGGTGCTCCACCACGGTCTCCTAGCCTCCTGGGGAAACAGCCACTATCTCCAGGAGATCAGCTCTGGCGCTTACGGGCGCCCCTTTGACCCTTGTCTGACATTCCAATGGCTCTTCCCAGAATTTGTATACAACCCTGCTCTAATTGCCCAAGACTTTGGCGTATCTAGAAGTGGTAGGGTGTACAAGCTGAGGGGAGCTAATTGAGAGAGGCTCCATTTAAGTAGTGATGTGAAGGCCATCGTTTGTTTTGGGGTGTAGACTTCCCAGTATAGCTGCTTTGGGATCAGCCACACTCCTGTCGATAACCCCAGGTGATTGATACGCTTTAATAAGCAAGTCCCATATATTCATTGGTTCCCCAGGGTGAATTTTGATGAAATTGCGCTTTGGTTTGTCTTTGGGATTTTTTTGGGGGAGGGAGTAGACACTTAAATCTCCTTGGGAGGGAAGGAATTCTCCCAACACTCCCTTCTCCACTCCCTTCTCCTCGTAGGAGGGAATGTTTCAAATTAGAGGAAACAGCTGTAGGCTAGGTCATGTCTATGAGACTTCTGATGGAGATGTTAGAACTGGCCTTGAAACCAGGAATGGTCACACATGATTTTAATCCCTGGAGTTGAGACAGTAGAATTGTGAGCTTGAGCCAATCTTGGGTTGTGGAAGCAGACCTTGTCACAAATAAACAAAGAACTGGCTTTGGGTATGCAAGCTCTGGGCTCGTACTAACCACAACAATTTGACAGTTAATTGTTAAGATACATGGTATAAATTTTCTTTATTTCTTTTTGCTTTTTCAAGGCAGAATTTCTCTGTGTAGCTCTGGCTGTCCTGGAGCTTGCCTTGTAGCTGACCTCAGACTCCCAGAGATCCCCCTGCCTCTGCCTCCCGATTGCTGGGATTTCAGGTGTGTGCCACCAACGCCCGGCTGGTATTAATTTTCTTGTCACACTTATTTATTTATGTACATGCGTTTAATAACACACATGCTGGGAGGCCAGAGAGCACCTTGTGAGAGTCAGTTCCCTCCTTCCTCTATGTGGGTTCTGGGGTTTGAGCTCCTGTTGTCAGGCTGGACAGCAAGTTCATTAAGCTGATGGGCCACCTTGCTGGCCCTATGTGGTATTTGGAGCCATGAGCTGGTCTCGGGATGTAGCTCAGTGGCGGACCATTGCCTATTATGTATAATGTCCAAGGTTTATTTCCCAGTACCATGAAAAAAAAACCAAGGCATGGTCTTGAGGTTGGGGGCAAAGGATATCAAACTAGCAAATAATTGTTTTTCTTCTGATTTAGGTAACTGAAGGAAGCACGGACAGATGGATCTCCTTTGCCACTTTCTTGGAAAAGCTGGGTCACCTTCACTGCAGCCTCCCCTTATAGGTATCCACAAACCTCAGTTGCCTTCTGAGGATTCTTAAATTAGTTATTCTTCCATGCCCCAGCCTTTCCCCATCAGGGGAGGGTCCCCTCCACCTCTGAGTCCCAGTCCCCCCATTGGAGAACTTCAGGCAGACAATCTAACACTGAAAGAAGTCCAGAGACCCTCACTGGGGGAGTCTAGGCAGGGGCTCTACCACTGAGCCACACCCCAGCCCCTCACTGGGGGATTCTAGGCAGGGGCTCTACCACTGAGCCATACCCCCAGCCTCTCACTGGGGAATTCTAGGCAAAAGTTCAGTTGCTCAGCTATATACCCAGGTGAAAACAGCTAAATTTGGTCAACACCCTCTCAATATATCCTGGGCAGTGGATGTTCCTGACATTAGACTCAATTTACCACTGGGCCAGAAGTTGAAAGCAGGTTATACAGCACAAAGGTCGTTGAGGATTCGGCTCACTTGATAGGATGCTTGCTGTGCAAGCATGAGGATCTGAGTTCAATCCCTGGAATCCATGTATAAGAGCAGAAAAAGCAGGACTTGGTAGTAAGTGTTTATAAGCTGAGCTCTTGGAGTGGGGATGGGGGTGTTGGGGGCAAATACAGGGAGAACCCTGAGATCTCTACCCAACCAGGCTAGCCTGCCTGGTGAGTTCTAGGCCTTGGAGAGACTGTCTCAAATCGAAAGCAGACAGCGTGGCACTCAGGGCTGCCCTCTGGCTTCTACGCACACCTGTTTGTATCTGTCCATGCACCAACACATCAGCAAAGGCAAAGAAACCCAAGGCAATTTCCTTTAAAAGTTTTTCATTTATTAGTCTTTTCTAAAGCAGTTAATCCTCTTTTCTTATTTTGTTTTTGTTGTTTTAAAAAAATGTGTGTTTCATCCAGAGTTATATCAAAGCGATTAAAATGAATTTTCTCCTGAGGATACAGCTCCTCGGATAAGAAAGGGTTTTTTTTCCCCAATTAACCATAAAAATAAAACCCAAAGAGCATACCAACAATCAAACATCATCCCCAAATATCCAGGACAAAAAATAAAATATTTATTGATCTATCACAGCGAAACATGGGGAGGTGGGGTGGCGGGACGCTCTCTATAATAGAGTGGCCCCAGGAAGGGACGGGGATACAGTACTGCATGTGGGGAGGAGAGTCCTGCCCCAGCCCGCACGACCCCTCGCACCCCAGGCCAGCATTTGGGGTGTGTGGTGGGGGTGGAAACAGGGTACAGGCTGCCATGACAGGTGAGTCAGGTTGATAGTGGGCGTGCCCAGCCAGCTAGTGGCACTAGGCAGTCGGGATGGACGGACGGACGGGAGGGTGGACAGCGGGCAGGTGGATTCCACAAGAACAAGGGAGCTATTCCCAGTGTGGGAGCATTATGACTCCAAGGTGTCCCGGATGTGGGAAATAGCTACTGCTAGAGGGGTATGGGACCAAAAGACCCGAAGAGAGAGGGGTTGTGTCACCAAATCCAGCGTCAATGCTTTCGGCACTTGGGTACCAGTGGGATGCAGCCAGGGATGGCTCCTGGTGGGCAGGGGGAGGTGGGATTGCCCAGCAAAGGTGTGCACCATCTTAATAGAGGGGTTCAGGGAAGGGAAGGCCCCCATGGGATGCCCTTCCCTCCCCCTCCCCCCACGAAAAAGAAGCACCAACATGTAGCACCAATTTCCCTTGGAGATGGAGACTGTGTGTGTGTGAGCTCCTGGGTGGGAAGAGATGGGGCACCCACCCTGGCCTCTGATGTAGGGGGGACATTTCCGGTTAGGGGGTACGTGGCCGCTGCTGTCTGATTTCCTTGTCCTGTGGGTTTCCAAGGCCATTGGCCTGTTGTCCCCTCCCAGGTGGGGCTCAAGGGGATGGAGTGGGGGGTGGTCATAGAGGGTTTACATTCTCCACCAAGCAGTAGCACCAACGTTGATGAGGTCGCGAGTCAGGGGTCTCCAGAAGATCACTTCCTCTTCCGGCCACAAGATTTCCCAAAGCAGCCCCCACCTGGGTTGGAAGGAGGCACAAACAACTATGGTCAGTTTGGTCTCTTTGGGCTGCTGTTTGAGTCCCTGAATATTCTTGTCTACTTCCATCTCAGGGTTAGAGAATCTAAAAGAAGCCTTCCTTCCTTCCTTCCTTCCTTCCTTCCTTCCTTCCTTCCTTCCTTCCTTCCTTCCTCCCTCCCTCCCTCCCTCCACGAGGTCTCATGTAGTTCAAGCCTGCTATGAATTCAGTACACAGCTGAGGATGACCTTGAACTCCCGATCCTCATGTTTCTTCCTTCTGAGTCCTGAGATTTCAGGCATCTACCACCTTGCTTGGTTTTATGCTGTGCTGGGGATGAAACCTAACTCATGCTATTTGCTTCTCTCTGTCTCTGTCTCTGTCTCTGTCTCTCTCCAGGGGTTGATGAGATTGTCTCCTTATGGCGTTCACACTGGCCTCTAACTCACAGTCCTTCTGACTCAGCCTCCTGAGTGCTGGGAAACCCTGTCCAGCAAACCTGGCAATAGATAACCTGGGATTGGGAGGTACCACAGGCTCAGCCCTCATGACGTTTCTGCTAGATGTGGCCTGTTAGCGCCACCTGGTGGCACCAAGCCGATGGCGTATTCTGGAAGTCCTCTGTTGCTTTAGGTGTGTGGCTGTGAGGGTGGGCAACAGCTAGGAGATATGGGCAAAAATGTCCAGGCCACACCGGAGGTGAGAATGGAGGATCCAGTACTTGCTCCCAGCTCTGAATATCTGCATTGGAGGTGCCTCTCCTCTAGCCCAGGCTGGTGGATTGAGACCTTGACCTCTGACTTTTCTTCTTCCTTCCCCAGGGATGAAGTCTCTACTTACCTTGGTATCCCAGGGCCCCAAGGGCTCCTCCATAGGACTTTGGGGGTTTTCCTGTAGGGGGAGTTTGTGTCAGAGGATGAGACGGGGTGGATCCTGGGCTCCCCCACCTCTCCCAGCATCCTTACCTTGTGCTAGCTCTACACTGTTTTGGTAGGCTCCCAAGACTGTCAATCAGTGCACCTAACTCTGGCCCAGCCAAACCCTTCTCCCCAAAGCCAAGCTCTGTAGTTCTAGGGATGGAACCTGGGCCTCGTGCATTCTAGGCAAGTACTCTACTGCTGAGCCACACCCCAGCCTCTCACTGGGGAATTCTAGGCAGGTGCTCTACCACTGAGCCACACCCCAGCCTCTCACTGGGGGATTCTAGGCAGGTGCTCTACCACTGAGCCACACCCCAGCCTCTCACTGGGGAATTCTAGGTAGTGCTTCACCACTGAGTCATGCTCCTAGTCACTTATTAGGGGATTCTAAGCAATTGCTTTACTATTGAGTTACATTATCAGCCTTTTAAAAAATGTTTGAGATACTGGCTGGAGAGATGGCTCAGAGGATAAGAGCACTGCCTGCTCTTCTAGAGGTCCTGAGTTCAATTCCCAACAACCGCATGGTGGCTCACAACCATCTGTAATGAGATTTGGTGCCCTCTTCTGGCCTGTGGGCATACAGACATATGCTGTTTACATAATAAATAAATAAATGCTTAAAAAATGTTTGAGACAGAGTTTTGTTATGTTGATCAAGTTATCTGGAACTCTCTCTGTGGCACAGGCTAGTCTTGAATTTTTATTCTCCCCCCCCCACAGAACCCCCCAGAGCTAAGATCCCTTCCACCAACATGGCTAGTTTTTAAGTCTTTACTGCATACTTACCACCAACTCCCAGGCCCCCAGCACCACCACCTATGAAGTAAGAAGAACTGTCAGTGTGAGAACACTTCTGGGGACCCACCGTGCCCTCCCTGACTGGAGCAGGACATGTGATATAAACAGAGTCAAGTCCTGGACTTGGATAGCAGAACCTTCGGCTCTATTTCTGTTCACGGTGTGACCTTGGGACAGTGCTCAGTGGTCTTTGACTTCAGCTGACCTCCGGGAAAGTATGGGAGGGAAGCCGTTCGACTCACAGGGACCCCAAGAGATGGGCAAGATGCTTTAGAAAAGCTGGTGTGGTGTCCCCTGTTCCTAGAGGGGTCCTTATGTTAGATTGAGGTCTGGCCTCCTTTTGGGGTCTACTGTAGACGTTAGCTCAACTCTTGTGAGAAAATGGACTTAAGGAGAGGGAAGGGCCTGGCAGAGCCCAGAACAGGGCCCTAGGGCAGGACACTGGCGCATACCTGGGTAAATAGGAGAAAGTCCAAAGCCAGGTCTTGCTGCCACTCCTACAGGAGAGATTTGGGGTTGGTGATGAATAGTGGCAAGCCATGTTCTCATGTTCTGGCCTTGTCACCTGGCCTTGATGTCTGGGACCAGCTCCTTCCCATTGCCTTACTCTAGTGAAGCCACATTCTTTGTGGTGAGCGTGCGTGTGTGTGCGTGTGTGTGTGTGTGTGTGTGTCTGTGTGTTTGCTCTCCACCTTTCATTTTGAGGCAGGGTCTCTCACTAAACCTTTTGTTCACATATTTGGAAAAACTAGTTGGGCCAACAAGACCCAGAGATCCTCCAGTCACCGCCTCTCCAGCTTGCAAATTTAACTTCTGTGCTGGGGGATTGAACTCAGGTCTTCATGCTTTTCTGGTGAGCGCTTAACTAACTGAGCCGTCTTTCCAGCCCGGAAGCCACATTCTCAGTTAAACTTGTCTCTGTCTCGTATGCCTGTGTGGTGCTTTGTGCCTTTGCTCTGAGCTTGGTTGGCACTGTCTTCAATTTGGGGATAGCGCCCTAGTTGTCTCCTGTCTCAGAGTGAGCTGTCCATCCATGTGAATTCAGTGTCCAGGACCCTGTTGTTTATTCCTGCAGAGCTAAGAACAACACTAAGAACAGCACCAGAGCTGGTCATACCTCCACCTGGAAATGGCCTGGCTCCTAGGACACCTCCAAGGCCAGCAGCACCTGAGGAGAGGACAGAGGGGTGTCAGGACGAGGCAAAAGGACGGTGGTGATTACGTCTTAGACACGACATTCAGGGGTACCACGAGGTGGGCAGGTGTGGATGATGGTGATGGGTGTACAAGTCTGTATTGGGGCGGGGGAGGGTATGGATGAGACTCACCGTATTTGGCTGCTTTAGCAGCTGCAGCTGGGGACACACCTAGAGGAAACAGACACAGGAGGGCTCAAGAAAGCCACCTCTCCCCACCACTCGGACCCTTGTTAGCTGATGTATTCATCTTCATTTGCCCATGTGTTGTTAGAGATGGAATCCAGGGTCTCATGCATGCTACGATTGAGTACTGTTTCTGACCACTTACTAATAGAGGATTCTAGGCAAGCATTCTACTATGGAGCCACACCCACAGCTCCTCATTGGGGGATTCTAGGCAGGTGCTCTACCCCTGAGCCACACTCCCAGCCCCTCACTGGGGGATTCTAGGCAGGTGCTCTACCCCTGAGCCACACTCCCAGCCCCTCACTGGGGGATTCTAGGCAGGTGCTCTACCCCTGAGCCACACCCCCAGCCCCTCACTGGGGATTCTAGGCAGGTGCTCTACCAGTAACTTATTTCCCCAGACCTCCAGTAGTTTATATTAAGCTGCTATTATATGTCCAACATACAGACTAGGTAAGGGATACACAGCAGGGAGAGAGAAACACACATCCACCATGGTGGTACAGACTTTAGGGAAGTAATTCTTCTCCAGATATTTTTATTTGTCTGAGAAATGGTCTGACCATCATTATACTAATGAGCCCTCACCTGTAGTAGTTGGTGGGTTGAAAGAAAGAGAAGACGGGTTTTGTGTCTCTACGTCAGTGGGCAGTCCTGGCTCCTGCCTGCTTATGCTCTCTACCTCTTCATTCCCGATAGGGTCTAATGTCTCCTAGGCTGATCTTGAACTCATTGCGTACCCTAGGTTAGCCTCCAACTCATGACCCTTCCACCTTAGCCTCCCTAGTGCGGGGATGACAGGTGTTTGTCATCACACTGGGCTTCAGCATGTCTCTCTCTCTCTCGTATACCCCACTCACTCATTCCTTACCTCCAACACCTGCAGCACCGCCGGGGATTGCTCCGCCGGCTCCCAGTCCACCGGCTCCCAGTCCACCAGCTCCCAGTCCTCCGGCTCCCAGTCCTCCTGCTCCCCCAAGGCCTGTGGAGAGACCCATGCATTACACACACTGGTCAGAAGATTGCAATTAGGTCCTGTTGTCGAGGAAACCCCTGAGCTCCAAGGTCACTTCTGGGGTCCCCAATGGCCAGGAAACCGATAAGCCCCGGGACTCAGGGACAGGCCAGGGAGACTGAATTCTTGCTTACCATACTGGGCAGCCTTGGCAGCAGCTTTGGCGGCGGCAGCAGCAGCAGCAGGCGCAGCTCCTGGGAACACAGAGGGACTCAAGCAGGGACTGCTGAGGGGTCTCAGTCTCGATCCCAGCCAGCCCATTGCTGGGGTAGCAAAAACATACCTGCTACACCACCTGGAACACCAGCCCCACCGAGACCCCCAGGTCCTCCAAGGCCACCAGCACCTCCGAGACCTCCAGCACCCCCTAGGCCACCAGCTCCTGCTGCTCCTGTGGAGACAGGACTGAGGGTCAGCGCCCACACTTTTGTTTGTTGATTTGAGACCGGGCTACTTATAGCTCAGGTTGGCTTTGGGCTTTCTGTGTGCCTGAGGATGGCTTTGCACGCCTGATTTTTCTTCTTCCATCTCCCAAGTGCTGAGATTTATAGGCACATACTGGCTGCCATGCCTGGAACTTTTCTCTTTTGGCTTTTTTCCTTGTTTTTTTTTTTTCAAGAATTTTTTTTTAATAGTACTGGCTGTCCTGGAACTCACTCTGTAGACCAGGCTAGTCTCGAACTCACAGAGATCCGCCTGCCTCTGCCTCCCGAGTGCTGGGATTAAAGGCGTGTCCCACCAATGCCCAGATTCTTTTTTTCTTTTCTTTTTTTTCCTAGTGAAACAGAGTCTCACTAAGTTGCAGAGACTGGCCTTGAACTCATGACCGACCTGTCCCATCTCAGTCTCCTGACTACTGGGTTGACAGGCTGTGCCAGCATACCTGTCTACAGTACCCTATGTCTGAGAGATGTGTTTATGCCCTAGAGCTATACGGTAGGCACACAACAGAGGCCTGTGGAGTTCCAGACAAGCCCCCACCACTGAGTCACTCCCACAGGCCCTGGCTGGAGGAATCTAGGCAAGTACTCTTCATTGAGCCATGCCTTTAACCCTTTGCTGGCGGATTCCAGGCAGGCGCTCTACCTCTGAGCCATACATTCATTTCTCTATTGGTTTTCTGAGGCAGGACCTCACCATTTAGCCCACGCTGCCTTTGAACTTGGGATTCTCCTGCCTTACCCTTTCAAGATGCTGGCCTAATAGGTGTGATCCACCACGCCCGGCAGTCCCCCCAATTTTGCAGATGAGGAGGCCGAGGCAAAAGAGAGAGGTTCTGGACACACACAGAAATACTGTGGCCATGGTCCTAAGGGCAGGAGATGACCCGGTAGCTGCCCTTCCAGGGAGTCCTTGGTGTGCTTTCCTGGCTGTGTCTGTTGACTAGAGCCAAGAGCAGCCAGCAAGGAACTTGAGAGAAAGCTGTGGGTGACCAGGGGCTGTGTGTGTGTGTGTGTGTGTGTGTGTGTGTGTGTGTGTGTGTGTGTGTGTGTCTAGCTGAGGAATGGGATTTTCCGTGGTGGAAACTGGCCTCAAGTAGAAGAACTGTAGCCAGTTGGCGCATCCCTGGCAGAGCCCCCGCCCCCCTTGCCTGGCTCTTTAGGAGGCCAGGAATGTGGGGGTCACAGACAGTGTGGGTCTGGCCAGAGCGCCAAGTGGCAAGGCAGGCGGTTCTGCCACGTCTTCCTGGCTGGTGGGTGTCGGGCGAAGTCACACTGGCAGGAAAGGAGGGAAGAGGCCAGGGGATGCCTGTGAAAGGGAATATCCCCAACTCCACAGGCCAAAGGGCGGAGCCGAGGCTGAAGCTGCCGTGCCTCGTGGGACCAACAGCAATAAGACTCCCCCTGCACCAAGAAAACTGTCAGCGTCAGAGTGAGGCTTGGAGGTATGACAGTTGTGAGTGAGACAGTGCTTCCTGTAGCCTAGGTTGGCCTTGAACTCTCCATGTAGCCAAGGGTGACCTCCTGCCTCCACTTTCCAAGAGCTGGGATCATAGGTGCCTAGCACCATACCGAGCACTGGCAGGTGGTTTTGACTGACATAGGCAGGCACTAGGTCTGTGACTCATTCAGATGTCCTGTAGGTAGCCTTTCTCTGTGCTGAGCAGCTCAGCTCCGTACCGTAAAGGGTGGTGACAAGGGGACCAGGTAGTATACTGCACTCACCATATTTAGCAGCTTTTGATGCAGCCAGGGATCCAGGGACTGTGAAAAAAGGGAAAGGGAGGTCAGCTGCCGAGCTCTGTACCTGCGGGTTCAGCTGCCTCTTCCGGGAAGCTCACCCTGACTTCCTGCACTTTGGAGACAGAGGCTTGCCTTATGGTTACGACCTCCACGGGTTGAGAACCACTGTCCTGGAGCAGTTTGGAAGACTGTCTGGGCTGGCCTGGAGGAAGAGATCTCTACCTTCTCATCGGTGGTTGTTAGGGGCTTTTGGGCAGTCTGTGGCTTTCTTAACCTCCCTCTAGAATCTCCCACCCTGGAGTTGTTTGGCTGGTTCCCTCCTGACCTATTGCCCCATTCACCCCAGCTCCACTTGTTGTTAGAAATGACCTCACCTATGCTAGGCAGGCGCTCTACCCCTGACCCACCTGGCCAGCCTCTTCTTGAGGAATAGTAGGCAGATTATCTGCCACTGAGCTTCAAGCACTAGCCCCCGGATTTATTTATTTATTTATTTATTTATTTATTTATTTATTTATTTATAAGACAGCACCTCACAAAGTTTCACAGGCTCTTGTAAGCTCATGCCTCAGCCTCCTGAGTATCTGAGATGACTGGTTTGTACTATCTACCTGGTACCCATTTGCTTTTGCCTGCTCAGGAAAATCTAACTGATGGCATGTAGGGACACAGGGATGGACTCCTGGGAGGAGACGGGCCCTCTTTCTCTGAGGTAAAGAGCGTTTTCTATCTAGTTCCTAGGATTCTTCTTACCTGCTCCAGCCCCAAATCCAGGGACACCAGCCCCAGCTCCAAATCCAGGGACACCAGCACCTGCCCCAAATCCTGGGACACCTGCACCAGCCCCAAATCCAGGGACACCTGCTCCAAGCCCGGCAGCAGCCCCTGCAGAGAAGAGGTAGTAAGCAGTTTTAGCTAGTATGTCTTGTGCCCCTGTAGAGGTGTCCTGCCTCAGGAGCAGAGTCAGGTCCCAAGGGCAGGGGCCCCCAAGGGAGCGGCAGCTTCCTACTCTGCGGACTCACCCCAGAGTCCATGTTTATTATTATTATTGTTATTATTATTATTATTTGAGACAGGTTCTCACTATGTCGTTTTGGCTGGTCTGGAACTATTGACCAGGCTGGAATCGAACCCATAGAGATCTGCCTGCCTCTGCCTCCTGAGTGCTGGGATTAGAGGCGTGCACTACTGTTTCCAGCTTTTCACAGACTCTATTTAGTACTCCCCCAACCTAAGGGTCTCATGTAGCCCAGGTTAGACTTGAACTGAAATTGCTCTTGAATTTCTGGTCCTCTTGCCTCCGTCTCACGAGTGCTGGGACGGGATTACAGGCGTGCTCTACCATGCCCGGTGCGTGCAGGGCTGGGGATGGTGAGCCAGGACTTCACGCGTGCTAGGCAAGTGCTCTACTAGCTAAACCACACCCTCACCCTCTGAAGTTCTCCTAGTGACATTCTGTGTGCAGTCATGCCACCGACTCCCACACTTGATACCTAAGCTAAAGGAACCTGGAAGTCACTCAGTTGTCTTGGGAATCAAGACTCCGAGCCAGGTCTCCCTCTTGCTGGGTCTGTGCTTCCGAGCCCTCTGTTAGGTGCCGTAGGGACCTGAAGGCAGTAAGGATGCACCTGAGAGGTTGTTGCCTGGGGCTGTGCTGGGGCTGTGTGTCCTGGCTAGGTGGGTGGGGACAGGAGAGGGGAGTCACTGTGTACTCACTGTACTGAGCTTTGGCGGCTGCCTTAGCAGCAGATTTGGCAGCAGCCGGTGTCCCTGCTCCTGAAGATAGAGGAAGGACATTCAAGATGGCACCCATGGAGGCTCCAGGGAACGCTCAGACCTACTCATCCACCAAAGCTCACCTCCAATGCCACCAGGTACAAGGCCGATGCCTGGACCAGTTCCGATACCGGTGACGCCACCAGGGCCAACTCCACCAGGAACTCCACCAACTCCAACGCCACCAGGAACTCCGCCAACTCCAACGCCACCAGGAACTCCGCCAACTCCAACGCCACCAGGAACTCTGCCAATGCCAGGGCCCAAACCTACAAGAGAAGGAGTAGCTTCTATAATCACGTAGCTTAGCTACAACCACGGCCCAAACAAAGAGGGAAGGAGCTGACGAAAACAGCCCACAGCTGCTGGTTAAGATTTGTGGGCTCTCCTCCCAGCTCCGGAAAAGACATGCTGTGTGATCTTGGGGCAGATACTATCCCTTGCTGGGCCTCTTGCTCCTATGTAATAGGAGGCGGATGTAAATTTAGTAGTTTGTAACCTTTTGAGGGCCAGGGACACCTTGAAGCCTTGCTCGAGGATAATGGAGGACAAGCAGGGGTTTTGGGGTTGTTTGTTTTACTTTTTCTCCAGTACTTAGTACTGGAGAATGAATTGGAGGCCTTGAACACGCTAGCCAAGTGTTCTGCCACTGATCCACACCCCAGCCCTTCACTGGGGGATTCTAGGCAGGTGCTCTGCCACTGATCCACACCCCCGCCCCTCACTGGGGGATTCTAGGCAGGTGTTCTACTGCTGATGGTGAAAAGGTCCCAGATTTTTCATCGTTATTATAATATTTACTTTGAGACGGGCCTCACTTGATTTCCCAGGCTGACTTTGAACTTTCAGTGCCCTTTCCTCAGTTCTCCGAGTAGCTAGGATTACAAGACAGTGCCACCAGGCCTGGCTCTCAAATTCATTAAGGCCAAGTTGTCACACCCCCTCCCCCCAGCACATGACTGGATCCCATTATACATTCTTGGGGGCTATTGGAGTGAACTTGACCTCTTCTAAGAGAAAGCAAGAGCGATGAAGTCCCTCAAGGGGTAAGGCAGACTCTAGCTTGTGATTTAGAAGAGGACCAGCCCTAGCTGAACTTGGGGAACAGGGAGCTCTCAGAAGTAGGTTAGGGCAAGACCCACGCTGCTAAAAGGGAACAGGCAAGCTAAAAGCCGTGAGAAAGGCCCATACTCAGGGCTTGGGGTGTGGTCAGTTGGTGGAGTGTTCACCTAGCATGCAGGAAGCCCTGGGCTCCAGCCCCCAGCACCGCAGAGCAGAGCATGGGGTGCACGCCTGGAGAGGTGGAGGCAGGAGGAACAGGAGTTCAAGGTCACCATTAGCTCCTCAGCAGATGTGAGAAGGCTATGGTCTGGGGTTAAAGGTCAGTTACAGGTGGAGACAACTTACCATACTGGCCCGCTTTGGCGGCTGCCTTGGCGGCGGCGGCAGCAGCTGCAGCTGCAGGGGTACCTGCTCCTATTTGGAAGGAGGGAGCATGAGATGATCCCCAGTTCCCCTCCCCCTTGTTACCCACCCGTCCAGAGTCCACTCATGGGTATCCTTCTCTGGGTACCATGGCCTCATCCTGGGGAACAGGGAAGGGTGCTGAGGTGGGTGCCTGGGCTTCAGGGCACCTGGGCATGCCCCCGTTTTGTTTGGGTTTCAGTGAAGAGCTGAGGGGAGGCTCTGAGCCTATGAAATTCCATCCCTGTTTGGGATGCTCGCAAGTAAAAAATTCCTAGCAGCACCTGTATCCCAAGCTATTGTAGGAAATGACCCCTTCCTCAGCCATCTATCTATCTATCTATCTATCTATCTATCTATCTATCTATCTATCTATCTATCGATCGATCGATCGATCTATCTATCCATCCATCTATCAATCTATCTATCTATCTATCTATCTAATTTTTTCAAGACAGGGTTTCTCTGTGTAACAGTCCAGACCATCCTGGAACTCACTCTGTAGATCAGGCTGGCCTCGAACTCACTGAGATTCACCTGCCTCTGCCTCCCCAGTATGGGGATTAAAGGTGTGCGCCACCACGTCTTGCTGTCCTTGTCTTCTTTCTGATCCCATATTGTACTTTGAGGCAGGGTCTCATGCTGAACCCAGAGCTCACTGTTTCAGCTATTCTAGCTATTCAGCTTGTTCTGGGGGAGTCCCTGTCTCTACCTCCCATATCCTAAGATTACAGGCAGGCCTCCATGTCCACTGGCTTTTATGTGTTTCCTGGGAATTCAACCTCTGGTCCTTACACTTATCGCAATGCTATGTCCCTGAACCATGTCCTAAGCATCCTTTCTCTTTCCCTTTAAAATTCACGTGTACTTATTTGTTTGTATATGTGCATGCTCTCATGTGCCCCTGCAAGCGTTTGGAGTTTAGAAGACAACTTGTGGGAGCTATTTCTCTCATTTCAATATATGGGGTTTCAGGATTTGAACTCAGGCTGTCAGGCTTGGCTGCAAGTGCCTCTACCCACTGAGTGCCTCTTCTTTCTTTGCAATCCTGGGAATGAGTCCAGTCTCTTTCACATGCTCAGCAAGCACTCTACCACTCAGCCACACTCCCAGCCCTAGCTCCTTTCTGAAACAAAAACAAAACAAAACAAAAAACCCCCCCAAAACCCAAAGACCAAAAAACAAAATACAGAAGGGCAGTTTTCTCCTGGGTGTGGGGGGAAGGATACAGACAGAACTCTTCCAATGGGAAAACAACAACTAAAAAGGGTGTCCTTGAACGCCAATGTCTTTTAATCATCTCCCTTTGACCTCTGACTGGTGGATGGGAAAGGACCCAAGGTCACCCGAGTGCGGGTCCTCTGTTGGTGAGGAACTGGAAACGACCGCCTCAGAGTAAAAGGCTAATCACTCAACTCCGGGTGACACGGGGATCTCCCACAGAGGGGGCTGAGTCTCCCCAGGCAGGGAGAGGCTTGCCAGGGATTGGTAACCAGGTCCCTGCAGAGTGCTCCTCCCCACCCAGCTGCTTCAGGGGGAGCTGTCCCCTCTTTCCCACTCACCTCTGGGGTCAGTTTTCCTGTTTGCCAAGTGCCAAGCCCCAAATCTCTTCCATAAGATAAAGCAAACCCATCTCACGATGGGGAACACAGCTCACCTGGCACTCCACCAGTGCCTGGCACACCTGGCACTGCGGCTGGCATTGCAATTGGTCCTCCACCTGGCACCACCAAGCCTCCCAGGGTTCCGGCTCCTCCAGCACCTGGAGGAGAGAAGAATAAATCATGGTGTTCACCCCGCCTGCCCATCCGTCCGTCCGTCCATCCGTCCGTCCGTCCGTCCATCCATCCATCCATCCATCCATCCATCCATCCACCCACCCAAACCACATGTATATATGTATGTGTGTATGGATAAGTGGAGAAGGAGGCGGGAGGCAGGATTGCCTAGCATCTTCAATGCACTCTTCTGGAGTGACCTAGTAAACAAGGTACCACTTGGAGAGGGAGGAAGAGTTGAGCATGGCTTAGAAGGCAGATGGGGGGTGCTCATTTGCGTCTTTGTCCTGGTGGCCCAGGTGTGAGGCTGCTCTGCCCTCTCTCCGAACCTGGGCTCCACAGAGAGAAGAGCATCAGTCAGGGCAAAGTCACTCACCATACTTGGCAGCTTTGGCGGCAGCAGCAGCAGCTTGGCTTGCACCTGCAGGGAAAAGAGAAGAGCAGGTGGGTACATGGACAGAAGGGTTAAAAGGATGGAGAGGCAGGTGGTCAGGCAGGCAGGGGAGTAGTTACGTAGTTAGAAAGATGGATGGGTGTGCGGATGGATCGATGGATAGATAGGAAAACGGATGGATGAACGGATGCATAGGTCGGTGGATGGGTATGTGTCAGGGTCCTCCGGCCATCAGCCAGATACGGCTGCCTCACATACTCATAAGAGAAGATGTGACTCAACCCCCATAGAGAGTACATGACTCTGGACCACCCTACTACCTCTGCTAAATTCCAGAAACAGGCCTGCAGCTTAATTAACAGTTAAAGATTAGCTCAACAGAAAGCCCCAATTCCTCCAGGAGTTAGGCGAGGACATAGGAGAGATGGAGACAGATAAAGTAAGGACCTACGGTCAGGTTACCTGGCAATGCAGGAGGTTCTACCCCCTACCTTTTGCCCTGTGAATTAGGTTTCCAGACAGCACAGAGGGTTACCCCTCCCCCTGACCTTCGCTCCGCCAGGCTCACTGCAGCTGCAGCACACCCCCATTCCTTCCCCTCCTCCCTTCCCCGATATAAATCCCTTTGGGATGAAATAAAGTTGTCGCCTTGATCAGACTCCTGTCTTGGCGTCCATTCTTTTGTATCTCCTGCCCTCATCTTTCTCCTAGGTACCCTCCAGCCCCACATTGAATGTCCCACAGTTCGGGGCAGATATGCAGATGGATAGATGTGTGGATGCGTGGATGGAGGCACAGATGGCTGAGTAGATGTGTGTGTGTGTGTGGATAGATACATGGTCTAACATCTAAAAATGGATGGTGTGTAGATGTGTGGATAAATGGGATGATTAGGTGGATGGATAAATGGGTGAATAGGTAATAGGATAATGGGTATATGAATAGATAAGTAGATTAGTGGATAGATAATGGGTTGATAGATGGCTGGATAGATAGACGGACAGAAAGAAGAATGTATGGATTGATAGATAGATGGAGAAATGGGTGGATGGGGTGGTCTTGCTGAGGACCACACCTTTCCCTGCCCCTAAAGCCTAAGAAGATTACCTCTCTCTTCCCTAGTACATCAAAGCCCATATCTACTCCCTGCATGACTCAAAACACCCACTTCTCCCCCAGCTTCTCTCGGGGAAGGATACCTCCTAGTCCAGCTCCAGCTCCAACACCATAGCCAGGAAAGCCCCCAGCACCAACTCCATATGTTGGAATACCAACTCCACCTCTGGCTCCTGTGGATGAGAAAGATTACAATGTAAGAGACCCCTGTGAGTCTGGGAAAGCTCTGGAAGGATGCTCATTGGCTGGGAGAAAAGATTCGATGCATGCTTCCTTTAAGCTGGTCTTTGAGGACAGGAAATTGGTATTCCTGGGGGTCCCTGACCAGTCGCCTCCACGAAGTGTGAGTCTTCCCAGGTTCTGTTCCCTGGGTATATGGGGAAGCATTGCTTTGTAATGGAGAAGTCCTTGGGTTTATTCCTGTCCCTTGAGAGGACTTTGACCAGAGCATGGAAGGGTAGGGACTCTATTTAGACTGAGAATGTCATTCTGGGATGGTCCCATCACTCAGCAACATGGCTTCATGGTAGAAGACAACTGGAGAGACACAATCTATCCTGGGGTCCACTGGCTCCAAGTAGCTCTGTCTGGGGACTTTCCTTGGGCAAGTTGCTCTCTTTTGAGGAAGTGGAAGCCAGAACAGAGATGTCCAGGGCACTCACCATATTTGGCAGCTTTGGCAGCAGCTTTGGCAGCAGCAGCTGGTGACACAGCCCCTGGAGAGATCAAGGGGACAGAATGCTCAGGAGAGAATGGAGGAGAGTGTATATTCCTCTGCCTACCTGTCTGTTACTCCATCTAGCAATAGTTTACACACCTACCTGCCCGTCTACCCATCCCATCGCCTCTCTGTCTATCCATCGCCTCAGCCACCAACTTGCCCATGCATCCAGGCAATCATTCATGCATGCACCATGCATCCATGTATCTATCCATGCACACACGCATCCATGCATCTATCCATGCACCCATGCATCTATCCATGCACCCATTCTTCTAAGCACTTACATAGCTTCCTACCTGCATGCCCATCTGTTTTCTCATCTACTAACTCACCTTCCCAACTACTCCCAGCCCGCATATTCGCTCATTCTTGCATCTATTCAGCCTCTGCTCACTCTCTCATTGGTCGGTTTAACTGCTCATCTATATGACCACTTCTATGGCCACCCACTCGACCATTTGCCAGCATATCCACTTACTCATCTGTCTACCATTTACGGAGTATCTACTTAGCTAAGGGTGGGGGCATGTTAATGAAAGGTGCGGTTCCTGCCTCGGCAGCATGCTGTCAATTAGGAGGGAAGTTGGAGATGCTGATAATGCTGGAAGCTAGTTAAAAAGTTGCTGTAGTCCAAAAAGGAGGGGAGTAGACTTGGTCAAGAGTATGTATAGATGAAGGAATAAGACTTAGGGAGCACTCAAAGTCTTGGCAATACTCTATATTGCTCACACACACACACACACACACACACACACACACACACACACACACCACAGCCCAACTTACCTGGTCCACCCACAATGCCTGGGCCTCCAATACCAGGGCCCCCAACACCTGGGATGCCACCAACACCTGGGATGCCACCAACACCTGGGATACCACCAGCACCTGGAATACCACCAATACCTGGGATCCCAACACCTGGGATTCCAACACCTGGGACCCTAACTCCTGGTCCACCAGGTACTAAGCCTCCAGCAGCTCCTGTAGATGGAAAGAGAACTGTCTCAGACTGAGCCTTGTGGGGTCCTCTGCAGGCCTCCTAGATCAGCTTTGAAGACCACAGTCTGTCTTGAGTGCAGGATCATGTGCAGATGGGTTGGTGATTCCTCTACAAGGCTCTAACTCATCAGAGAGCTGGGAACGGACTAAGATGGAACCCAGAGAGACCTCTAGTTTGGATATGTAGCTGGGAAGAACATGATCAGTTCCAAAGCAAAATTAAAACATCTACTGTAGGCACCTAGGCTGTGGGGTTTTGTTTTGTTTTCATTCTTTTGATATCATGTTTTATTTTGTGGTACTGGGAATTGAAACCAGACTTTGCACATGCTACTACTCAGTGAGCTACACCCCAGCCCTTCACTGGGGGATTCTAGGCAGGTGCTCTGCCACTGAGCCACACCCCCAGCCCCTCACTGGGGGATTCTAGGCAGGTGCTCTACCACTGAGCCACACCCCAGCCCCTCACTGGGGGATTCTAGGCAGGTGCTCTACCACTGAGCCACACCCCAGCCCCTCACTGGGGGATTCTAGGCAGGTGCTCTACCACTGAGCCATACCCCAGCCCCTCACTGGGGGATTCTAGGCAGATGCTCTACCACTGAGCCACACCCCAGCCCCTTACTGGGGGATTCTAGGCAGGTGCTCTACCACTGAGCCACACCCCAGCCCCTCACTGGGGATTCTAGGCAGGAGCTCTACCACTGAGCCACACCCCAGCCCCTCACTGGGGATTCTAGGGAGGCGCTATATGGCAGCACCTCTTCCCCTGCAAAGCCCATGCAGAGCAGGAGCTGCCTTCCAGGTTGAGTGACCAGGATGGGCGAAGGCCTCCCTTTGGGGAAAGTAAGAGTGTCCCTAGGTCATCAGAGGCAAATTCTACTCCTCCTCATGGATCTTCAGTGTTCATACAGAGCCCCAACCCTGCCACTTCTGGGGGACACTCACCATACTTAGCAGCCTTAGCTGCAGCCTTTGCAGCAGCAGCTGCTGCGGGAGTTCCAGCACCTGGAAAGACAGGCGCAGAGGGTGAGGTTCAGCCCTGGTGGCCCCTCAAGGGCACCTCCCCCCTCCAGCTGGGAAAAGCATTACCTGCAATACCTCCAATCCCAGGAATTGCACCAGCACCGCCAGGAATGCCACCCCCTCCAACACCAGGGAGAACTCCAGCTCCTCCAGCGCCTGCTGGGACAGGAATGGCACCATGTGACTCCCCAGAGCTTCTTCTGAGGCCAGACAGGAAGGCCCCAGGGGTGCCAGCATATTCTGTGTGTGCATGTGTGTGTACTTGTGTACATACATGGATGTCAAGGTCAGAAGTTAATCTTGAGTGCATTGCCTCAAGAACTGTTTTTCTTTTTCCCTTTCTCACATGCATGTACAGGTATGTATATGTGCATGTTTTTCCATGCATGTGGGAGCACTTGCATGTGAGCATTCATGCATCTGTATGTGCATGTACGCGGAGGCCCAAGGTTGACGCTGGGGAATCATTCTTGATGTTCTGTCATTTCATTCATCGTGACAGGCTCTCCCAACCAGTATGGCTGGTCTTACTAGCCCCTTGGCTCTGATGAATGCCCCATTTCTACCTTCTAAGGCTGGAATTGCAGGTGGGTCATTGGATCTGGCATTTATGTGGGTTTCTGGGGGATCCAAACTCCTGCCCTTATGCTTGCAAGGCGTGCACTTTAATCAGGGAGCCATCTCCTCTGTCCTCATCCTGCTTCTGAGACAGGATCTCTCACTTTCCCCCGGACTGTGCCAGCTAGCCTGACTGGCAGGGGAGTCCCAGGTATCCCCCTGTCTCCACCACTCCAGAGCTGCACTTACCAATATGTGCCACCTCGCCTGCCTTTCTCATGTGGATTATGTGGCACGGGACTCGGGACCACACGCTTGTGTGTAAGCACTGTACCAAACTGGGTTATCTCCCCAGGACCCTTACTGCCTGCGGTTTTGTGAGACAGGGTCTCAACTAGGCGGCTCAGGCTTGCCTTGAACTCTCAATCCTGCTGCCAAAGCCTCCTGGTGGGATGCTGGTTTTTACCCACAATCCTCTCACCCAGCACAAAGCCTCAGTATCTCCAGATAAGCTTGCTGGGGGAGGTTCCTACCCCAGAGTTCTTGGGTTTGCCCCCAAAGTGTCAGCTTCAACACACTTATTAAGTGAGTCCGAGGTTCACAGACAAATCCCTTTCTAATCACTGCTACATACTGAGAAACCACAAGCTCCGTTCCCTGGGCCAGAGGGGCCCCCAAAGGAATGCTGAAGGCTTCCTTTCCCTGTGTTCTGAAGACTCAGCCAAGTTCAGAATCCAAGTGTCTGGCTGCCTGGCTCTGGCAGTCCCCGTCTCCAGGCTCTCCAGCTCCCATACCCCAGCTATTCCCACCAAGCCTGATCTGCCAAGGGGCCTCTGTGCTTGGAGAATTGCCTGGGGGCCTCTACGGGGTAGGATCAGTACTTCTAACTTCTGCTACCCACCCCCCGAAGCTGGTAGGGTCTTCTGTCCCCTCCTGACCTAGAAACAGGAAGGCCTCCTGGGTTGGGGCAGGGGGGAGGACTTTGGTCCTAGTGAGCTGGTCTCTGTATGAAGGAGAAGATGCCCACTCTGTCTACGGCGAGGGCATGGAACCACCACGGCACACCCCCGCCATGCCATCCGAGGGATTGTGAGGCTTGGGAAGGGTTACATGTTTGTAGCGCATGGGAAATGGACGTATACCATTAACCAAATCCTTACACAGGTACTGCCTGTGTGTCTCTAATCACCATGGCACTCATCCTTTATGTTTGGGTGCCTCCTTCCTCTTTTGTTTTTGTTTTGAGACGGGCCTCATGTAGCTCAAGATAGCCTCAAACTCGCCATGCAGTAAAGGAGTGCCTCAAGCTTCCTGTCACCCCCTCTTAAAGGCCGAGTCCTCACACTTGGTTCCTTCTGCTTGACCCACAGCGGGGAAAATCCCACCTATATGCTAAGGTTCTTGAATGACAGGCCACATTCTCCAAGAAGCGTCCCTCATTTTCCGCATGGAGAAACAACGGCTTGAGGGACTGTGTCCACGTCCCCTGAGATAGGTGGGTGGAGAAAGGGGCGATGGACAATGGAAAGGAAGGATGTGGGGATGGAGAGAGGAGGGACCCGGGAGGGAGAGAAGGAGGCAGAGATGGACGTGTGGGTGGAGGATGGAGAGTGGAGTGGAGGAGGGCGGGAGGGCGGGTGAGAGACAGCTGGATGGGTGTGTGTGTGTGTGTGTGTGTGTGTGTGTGTGTGTGTGTGTGTGTGTGTGGTTAGGGGAGGGATAGGCGTGGGAGGAAGTTGGGTGGTATAGACAGATGAATGGGAGACAGGTGTCAGGGAAAGGAAGAGAAGGAAAGACAGGTGGATGGATGGGCTGAAGGAGGGACGGTGATGGATAGAGGGAGGAAAGAATGGGGAATAAGGGAGATGTGAAAGACGGAGAGGAGGGATGGAGGGGTGGAGGGATGGAGGGATGGAGGGGTGGATGGAGGGATGGGGCGGGATAAGGGAGAGAGAGAGGTGTGGAATGATGGTAGAGAGAAAGAGGGATGGGTTGTGGAGAAGAGTGACTGAGGAGTAGAGGAGCTGTTGGGTGATGGATGGATGGAGGAAGGGAGGAGCTATGGAGGGATAGGTAGGTAGATGGGTGAAGGAAGGGGAAGGCAGAGCCATACGTATGGGTCATTTGAAAAGGGGGATAAGAGCCGAGTGGCGGTGGCGCACGCCTTTAATCCTAGCACTTGGGAGGCAGAGGCAGGTGGATCTCTGTGAGTTCGAGGCCAGCCTGGTCTACAGAGGGAGTTCTAGGACAGCCAGGGTTGTTACACAGAGAAACCCTGTCTAGAAAACAAAACAAAACAAAAAGTGGAGGGGGATAGATAAGAGGGTGACACAGAAATTCTTCTAACCACCGCAGGAAGGGGAGCCGGGGGCCCGGAGGCCGGCAAGGGTCTCCAGAGTACTCACCATACTTGGCTGCTTTAGCTGCCGCCGCTGCCGCCTGAGATCCAACCCCTGGAAGGGGGGAGATGAGGGGACACTAAACATGGGGCTGGTGTCCAGGCATCTCCAGAGTTCCATGTTCCCAGCCCCACAGATGCCCAGATGTATCTGGAGGCTTCATAGCCAGTAAGGGCCAGAGAGCTGCCCCAACCCAGGTCAGAGTCTAGGCTTGGACCAAGGTCTTCATGCAGGATGGGTGAGCTTGTGCTTCGGATAGTTCCTGGAGCTGGGGGCACTGGTGTCCCCTTGGCTGGAAGCAGGTGAGATCTGCCCCATCCCTTACCTGTTCCTGTCGGGTAACCAGCCTTGCCCCCGGCACCGGCCACGCCTGTGAAGAAGATGGTTGTCACTCACACAAACCTTGACGCTCTGCCCTCCCCTGTCCCACTCATGGTCACTTCCAATGAAAGTGTATGCATATACAAGCACACATAGGGGAT